TCTACCACGTGAGCTGCAGCACCACTTCCGGTTTTCTGGTGGTTTTATTGGAGATAATAGTCTCATGGTCTCTCATGCCCGGGCTGGCTTTGAACCTTTTTTTTTTTTTTTTTTTTTTTTGGTTCTGGGGCTTGACCTCTGGGCCTGGGCGCTGTCCCTGAGCTCTTCAGCTCCAGGCAAGCACCCTCCCACTTGAGCTCCAGCACCAACTCTGGTTTTCTGGTGGTTAATTGGAGATAAGAGTCTCATGGCCTTTCCTGCCCAGGCTGGCTTTGAACCTTGATCCTCAAATTTTAGCCTCTTAAATATCTAGGATTAAAGGCATGAGCCTCTGGCACCCAGCTAACACCCAGCTAACAAATAACCTTTGAAAGATAAATGCTGGTTCTACTTGTATAGCTGTAGAGTAGTCAAACTCCGGAAAGAAGGAGAATTAAGAGTTGCTGGAGGGGCTGGGAAGGTGGCTCAGTAGTAGAGTGCTTGCATTGCATGCATGAGGCCCTGGGTTCACTTCCTCAGCACCACATAAGCAGGAAAAGCCAGAAGTGGTGCTGTAGCTCAAGTGGTAGAGTGCTAGCCATGAGCCGAAGAGCTGAGGGACAGTGCCCAGGCCCAGAGTTCAGGCCCCACAACTGACCAAAAAAAAAAAAAAAAGTTGCTAAATGAGCCCTGAGCCGATGGTTCACGCCTGTAATCCTAGCTACTCAGGAGGCTAAGATCTGAGGATCGTGGTTCAAAGCCAGCCCGGGCAGGAAAGTTGGTGAGACTCTTTTTTTTGGGGGGGTGGGGAGGGGTCCACTCGTGGGGCCTGAACTCTGGGCCTGGGCACGGTCCCTCAGCTCTTCAGCTCAAGGCTAGTGCCCTACCACTTGAGCCACAGTGCCACTTCCAGCTTTTTTCCTTTTGCTTATGTGGTGCTGAGGAATTGGTCCCAGGGCCTCAGGCATGCGAGGCAAGCGCTCTACCACTGAGCCACCTTCCCAGCCCTCGGTGAGACTTATCTCCAATAAACCACTAGAAAACCGGAAGTGGCACTGTGGCTCAAGTGGTAGAGCGCTGGAGAGCACAGGGACAGCGCTCAAGCCCAGAGTTCAAGCACCACGACTGACCAAAAAACAACAACAAGAGTTTCTGAATGAGCATAGATATTGTTCTACAAGATGAAAAGCATTTTAGTTGCTTTCACAACTGGATTAATTTACCACTTTTGCAGTATACATTTTAAAATGGTTAAGATAAGCTGGGCCAATGATTCATGCCTGTAATCCTAGCTACTCAGGAGGCTGAGATCTAGTTCAAAACCAACCCAAACAGGAAATTCCATGAGACTCTTATCTCCAATATCTACCTAAAATACTGGACTTGAAACTGGTGCTCAAGTAATAGAACACTATCTTTAAGGGAGGGAAAAAAAAAAGCTCAGGGACAATGCCCAAGCACTGAGTATAAGCCCCAGAATCTGCTCACATGCGTGCCCATACACATACAAAATTAAGATAAATTTTATATTTATTTTATTAGCTCTTTCAAATTTTTTGTTGGGTCCGGTGGTGAGGCCTGAACTCTGGACCTGGGCACTCTCCGTCAGCTCTTCAGCTCAAGGCTAGCACTCTACCACTTGAGCCACACACAGCACCACTTCCGGCTTTTTTCTTTTTGCTTATGTGGTGCTGAGGAATCGAACCCAGGGCCTCAAGCATACAAGGCAAGTGCTCTACCACTGAGCCACCTTCCCAGCCCCTAGCTCTTTCAAATTTTTGTCTCTGATCTCCAGATTCAGTGGGTATACTGAAGAGAATATTAGCTTTGAAATCTGACAGTTTGATTCCCTGATCTATAATTTATAAGCTTTGTGACTTCATAAAAATTAATTATTGGGGCCTCAGTTTCCTAACTGCAAAAGCAGATGATACATGATATTGGTTATGTTAGTAAATTAGAGTATAATGCTCTAACATGTAGGAGATAGCTGTTTTTATTCTTGTTTTGGAGGAACTCTTTGAACTAAATGTATGTTAGGTGCATATACACATTAGGTGAATAAGTAGAGTTAAAACTTTTCTTTATGCTAAGTGCTGGTAGCTCATGCCTACAATCCTAACTACTCAGGAGACTGAGATCTAAGGATCACAGTTCAAAGCCAGCCTAGGCAAGAAAGACCATGAGACTCTTATCTCCAGTTAACCCCCAGAAAACCAGAAGTGGCACTTTGGCTCAAAGTGGTAGAGTGCTAACCTTGAGCTAAAAAGTTCAGGGACAGCATCCAAACCCTAAGTTAAAAAAAGGACCAAAAAACAAAAACTTTAAGCATAGTGTGATGAAGAAAAGCTTATGCCAGAAAGAAAGACAGATAGTTTTTCTGCTACTTCTAAGCTGACAGGCAGGTTTATAGTAATTTTTTTTATAGTAATTTGTTTTTAAGATAGGTTAGAAGCCGGGCGCTGGTGGCTCACGCCTGTAATCCTAGCTACTCAGGAGGCTGAGATCTGAGGATCGCAGTTCAAAGCCAGCCCGGGCAGGAAAGACCATGAGACTCCTATCTCCAATAAACCACCAGAAAACCGGAAGTGGCGCTGTAGCTCAAGTGGTAGAGCGCTCGCCTTGAGCTGAAGAGCTGAGGGACAGCGCCTAGGCCCAGAGTTCAAGCCCATGACCACAAAAAAAAAAAAGATAGTTTAGAGACTACATTTATGGGAGAGGATAAGCCCTGAATTATGTTCTTCCAGAGTCCTTATTCTGTCCATGACCTCCCCTCTTTGTTTTCTTTAGGGTGAAAGCACGAATTGGGAGCTCTCAACGACAACACCAGTCAGCAGCCAAAGACCTAACTCAGTCCCCTGAAGTCTCCCCAACAACAATCCAAGTCACATATCTCCCTTCCAGTCAGAAGAGTAAACGTGCCAAGCACTTCCTTGAATTGAAGAGCTTTAAGGACAACTATAATACATTGGAGAGTACACTGTGATTGAGCTGAAGGACTATGGCACAGATAAAGCCAGAAAGATGCTTGCTGGGAAGCCCTCAGGACATCAGGCTCAGCAGGCCCAAACTCTATCAGCTAATTTCTCCATTATGTCCAGAATTCTTAGAGCTTGTGCCTGAAGAATCATTCCCCAACCCTTTCATATGGGCATTTTCAGAACACTAAGACTTTTCTTTTCCTAGTAGCACTTTGCTGGGTTTGAATTCAGAAGTCTTTACTATTTATTTATATCAAAGCTTCCTTAAAAATCTTTCATTGAAGTGGCGCTGTGGCTAAAGCGCTAGACTTGAGCTGAAGAGCTCAGGGACAGTGCCTAGGCCCAAAGTTCAAGCCCCACAACCAACCAAAAATTTTTTTTCATTATTTTTGGCCACAGTTTACCTTCATTGTTGCAGTCTATTTAATCCCAAAGGTGGGAGGTTGAGAGATGTCTTCTATGTCTGCCTTACTGTTCTCAAATGAGTGGCTTTAACTGTTTGGGTTAGGGTACCTCAGAGTTAACTGGTGGAAAGGCAAGAAAGAACTAGGAGGAAAAAAACTGGGAGTAGGAGGAGTAATAGTGGAGGTGGTAAGTCAGTTGAAACAGTACAATTTTTCTCACATGCAAGGATCTGCTCTTCCAGCTTCATTCATTACTCTTGTGAATAAACTGAATGGAGGAGAAGGTCCACACATCTGACATCGTCTTTTGTCAACATATGAGACTGTGAAGAAGTGGTTTTTCCTAATAAACCAGTTACTGGTCTGACTTCATAAATTATTTAATAAAATAAACTATTAAAAATAAGACATGTGAGTTATTTACAGTACTATTTTTAGTAAAACAGGTGTATGTTTTCTGCATTTTCCTAACACGGTATGTAGCATAAAGCTTTGCCTCCAGAGAATTATTTGGATTGTGTGCGCTCCCTGGACCTAGGACCATATAAATGCTTTTTGAAACCACAACAGAAGAAATTCTGAAATATTAACCGCCTCCCTCCTTGCTTATAGATTTGCCTGTGACACTAATAGAAGGCTGGGGAGCCAGGATTCCCTTCAGGTATCCAGGGCAACTGGCCAGGTGACCAATCAACGCCTAGGTCCAGGGTCATTGTTAGAGGCCTAAATGTTGCTATGACTACTGAAACCTTAGAGACTAAACTAAACAGAGGGCTTGCCCAGTGTCCTCAGACTTGCAAGCATGTCTATAGACATGTCTGTGGAAAAGATGGCAAAACTGGAAGAGGTATGCAAAGTTGAAGGGAGGGAATGGGTTGAAGACATTTCCTTTGATGTTTCCAGATCACAACCATTTACTAGAAAAGGCCCTTGATGTAGAACTAGGGTAGCAACAGGAGTAAGAGACTATATCCAGCACATAGTAGGTTTTTAAGTGTGTTCTAACTCCTGCAAGTTTTCCTTGATCCATTCTGAAAATAGTAGAGCTTACTTCCCATCTCAACTAGGAAGGTGACTACTCTTTCAAAAAGATCTATGAGTCTCTGCTAGAAGAGTACTAATGGAGAGAAGTGCTGGATATTAAGGCAGATTGACAAAAGTTTTTTCTTTCAGAGGCTTCAAAGGGCTGTGAGACTTGAGAAGATGGTTGAAAGGTAATCTCTGCTTCTATTTCTTCCCTTTACCCTTCAATTTGACCTATCATTTCCCTGAGCATCTCTCAGCTCTTCTGCATCTTTTTGTTTTCTTTTTTTTTTTTTGGGGGGGGGGCTGCTCGTGGGCCTGAACTCAGCTCTTCAGCTCAAGGCCAGCGCTCTACCATTTGAGCCACAGCACCACTTCCGGCTTTATTTCTTTTTGCTTATGTGATGCTGAGGAATCAAACCCAGGGCCTCATGCATGCAAGGCAAGCGCTCTACCACTGAGCCACCTTCCCAACCCTCTTCTGCATCATTTGGAAAGCTCTACAAGAAAAAATATGGGAAGAGGAGGCAGAGACATCAAAGCAAGCAGACAAGTTGGGCACCAGTGGCTCAGACCTGTAATCCTACCTACTCAGGAGGCTGAGATGTGAGGATCACAGTTCAAAGCCAGCCTGGGCAGGAAAGTCTGTGAGACTCATCTCCAATAAACCACCAGAAAACCGGAAGTGGTGCTGTGGCTCAAGCAGTAGAATGCTCTCCATGAGCTGAAGAACACAGGGACACCTCTCAAGCCCCACGACTGACCAAAATAAAAGCAAGCAGATACCATCCTGCTAGTAGGTTACACTATATAGAATGTTTATGGGTTTTGTTGCTGCTGCTGTTAATTTTTGTTTTTTTTTGGTTTTGGGGTTTGTATGCTTGTTTTTCTCAATCTTGGGTCCTGAACTCTGGGCCTGGGCGCCAAGTTCTTCAGCTCAAGGCTAGCATTCTACCACTTGAGCCACAGCACCACTTCTGGCTTTTTCTGCCTATGTGGTAGTGAGGAATCCAACCCAAAGCCTCATGCCTGCAAGGCAAGCACTCTACCACTAAGCCACCTTCCCAGCCTGGTTTTGGGGTTTTTTGTGGGGTCAGACATGGGTGCTCAAACTCAGGCCCTGGGCACTGCCTTGTGCTTTTTCACTCAAGGCTAGTGCTCTATCACTTGGGGCCACAGCTCCACTTCTGGTTTTCTCGGAGTTAACTGGATATCAGAGTCACAGATTTGCTTCCCAGGTTGGCTTCAAACCATGATGCTCCAATCCTAGCCTCTGAGTAGGATTACAGGTATAAACCATTGGTAGCCACCTAGTATGGTTTTTACTGCCCTTGTTTCCCATTCTCTGGAGGTAAGGGACAATGTTGGGTATTTTTTGGTAGTAGTGGTGGTATGTGTGTGTG